AAATGATTAACGCTAAGCCAATCCATTACACCAGACCACAGATCATATATTCACTTCAATTTTTTTCACTCGAATGTATGATTAACCTCTTGGATCGTGGTGTCTTCAGACTGAAGCCAAACAGAACAGAAAAAAAAAATTTTCGTTCTGTCGTATCGTTAAACATATGTTCACAAAAGAGGAAATGGATATGTCTGTTTTCGTTATACTCAGTTTTACCTAAAATGAAAAAAAAAAAATAGTTTCTTACAATAAATTTACTAGAAAAATGTTGAACCTTCACAATTTTTTTAGGAATGATACTGGTTGGTAATGATTTGGTACGTTGTTGAGAAGGTGTTGGTTCATTGAAAGGTTTTCGAATGATTCCTGTGATCCCCATAGTTTCACGAACGAAACTGTAAAAACAGATTAGTAATAGAATTCTAAAAAGTTCTTACCATGAAAGAAACTTCGAAAACCGAGCTGTTGAATCATGCATTCGATACATAACGAAAGCATTGAAAAGAAGTCTAGCAAGAAAATGAATGCCCAGTTTGACAAACCATCGATATGATTTTCTATCAATACATGCATGATGGAGTGAACTATCACTTAGGTCCACACCACCCATATTGTGATTGTAATCAATAATTGATGATGGTTTATTAACATACTTCTTCACACCACCTAAGAATGCTCAGAGAGATTGTGAAGAACAAAGAGTCGGCTTACATACCTTTCTCGAATCTTTCAACCTGAACGATATTTGCCGTACCTTTAGAATCAGCTAAATAGATCTCTTTATTACCAGTAGCCTTTTTGTCTACAAATTTAACCATAAGTATTTCACCATTTCTCATTGAAGAAAGAACAAGGAGCTGTCAGCTTTTTTTGCACCAGTTCTTTCGGTACTCCTATGTAAAAAGATTTATATGATTCAATCTTAATTTTTTGGATCAGTAAAAGTTAATTGTGGAAAATTGAAACTTGATGAATTTGAATTTCTTTAGATAATATAGTGAAATATGACTTCTTCTCCAACGTCATCGTCTTCCATCGGAAGAAAAGGAAAATGATCAACAAGATAACAACAATGGTGATCTTAAGAAGAAGATGAAGAAAACACTGGGTGATTCACAAAAAATTCGACTCGAAATAATCGAAGAATTTCATACACGAAATCTTGAAGCTCCTGTTCATATGATCGGTAAGAATTCTTTTGATCATTCAATCAACTGTAAACTTCCATCTCTGTTTGTGTTGTAGATGCAATCGATCGATCAAAAACAAGTGAAACAAATCGAAATGATGCAGAACATCGTAAAGGACTGTATCATCGTTTATCGGAATATCTTGATCATCGTCAAGTTCGAAATCGTGGTCAAACATATATTTTGCCTGATCTTATCCATCAACTGATCTGTTCTCGATTTCCAAGTGGTATTCGTGATTATCAAACGGTCAAAACTTTCAAAAACCGAAAACTGAACAATGTTTTAGAAGAAAATAAATATTATGTTCAATGGGAGGACTTCTGCAAAAAAAACATTAAATAACATTTGTTGTTGTTCTGTCTGATTTTCTCTCTCATTCTTATTGTTGTTGTATCTTGATAGAGAGAATTGAAATCAACAGTTCTCAATATAGATAATAATATTTAATTCAAATAAAAGAATTTTCTCACCTCGATTTTTTTTAATAGTTCCGGTGATTGTAGTTTCATGTTCGAGCAACCATCGTGCCAAACGACCACTTAGAAACCAATTATCTGCATAAAAACAATAGTTCTCTTTGTAAAAGATGACCAGCTAAATGAATAACTATTTTCTCGGACACTGAAAGTAACTCAACATTTGAAAAATTGTTTGCCCATGAATCTGTACCTTGAATTAAAACTCGTTATCAGAATGACAATAAATTGAGAAAAACTCTCACCTTGTCCAGTATATACTTTGAAATCGATTAGATATTCATTCGTAGAATCACACAAAGCGAAAGTCTTGATTCCAAATCGAGCTCTTTTTCGAGGATTGTACTGCTTGAACAACTATAAATTCATATAGTATCTTTCAATTAATGAGAAGAAACCAACATACTAATCTTCCTTTGTATATCATCAGTGTTTCATCGGCAGCAATGTTTCTAGATGGTATATATTTTGATTGACATATTTCTCGTACTTGATCGAGAAATGGACGAATTCGTTGCAATCGATCATTGAGAACTAGATTCTCACAATTCGCAAATCGAAGAAAACTAATGTAAAGAAAGAATAAATGAAGCAATTTTAGAGATAAAATCATCCGTACCGAAGAATAAAAAAACCGACCACGAGATAAATATTGAGGAGAATGAAATATTGGTGTCACGAGATAAGGATCAGTTGACCAATACTCACGAATTGATCGTTTACGAATCATACCCATTTGAACAGCAATAGCAAAAAACTTCTTCATTTCATCACGAGAAACATAAAACCTAGAAGTTGAATATATTCCGAATTTTCAAAACTGTCTCACAAGTTTCCATGTTGCTTGACTTTGTGATGATGATAAAATACTATCAAAGTGAATACGAGCACGAGTATTAGTACACATAACAATATGATCAAACAACGAAACAGGTAACATCTCATTGTAAAAGGTAGCAGGCAACGGACACGGACCGACAAAAAAGGTAGGTCCAACCTTTTCATTGAATTCTGCCAAAGTTTTTGGTCTCTGATCATGACCTGGTTTGACCGGTATCAAATCATCATTCAGATTCTGTGTAACATTCGATGACGAAGTGGTCAAACGGTTTGGATATATGATATCATCATCACTGTAGAATTATAATATGCGTCTCATTCCAATAAGAAAAAAAGTATATCTTTACCTATACTCATCACTTTCATAACGTTTATTTTCGTTGTTCATCAGTTTGTCCATCTTATCAATGGCACGAGGTGGATAAATAGTATCATCATCATTATAAAATACTTTTTATTTAGTATTTTTATATTTATCAAATTCGATTTATCACCTATATTCTTCACTATCATAATTTGAATTTATATTGACCAATTGATTCTCCATTGCATCAATGTCTGAGTCTAAAAGAGCTGGCATAGCCTTTTCTTCATCTTCGCTGTCGTTTTCATTGTCACAAAAATTTTCCTTTTCCATCTTGAATTTTAGACGTTGTGAATGTGCACAACATTTTCTTCTATTTCATCACAATCTTTCTAGAGCTAGCCATTTTTTCTCTTTTTTGTTACACGTTACAGAGAACAAATATCCGTACGACTGTATTAATCCATGTGTCATACATGATAAAATTCAGAACATATATGCAGCTGATTGATATCGGTAGAACGCAAGAGAGAGTGATTTTTTTATTTTTTTCTTTCGTACAGAACGCAAGAATCGCCAGGATCCAGGAGGTTAATGTCAATATTCTTAAGAGAGAAGCTCATTGATAGTACAAGAGTGAAGAACAAATAATTTGTATACTCAATAAACTATATTTATTTTTAACAATTGCGCAGTAAGAATAAATATGAATGGCTTATTTAATGCACTTTGAGGGCAATAAATGAACAATTCTGATTCATCAGAAATAAAATCTGGTCATCGAGAACAAAATCTCAAGGTTTCTGTGTTGTATATATATATAAACCAGCTACATTCCCTTGAAGCAAATCAAATTATTATTAATATTTCACGAACATAATGGCTCGTCAAACCATAATCTTCGTCTTACTCACGTTTGTTCTCATCTTAGCATCAATCTCCGGTAAGTACAGATAATAAAATTAAATTTTATAATTATTATTTATAGTTGAGGTGAATGCTCAAGGGAAGCATTGTCCTCAAGCGGAAAGAACTTGTCGTGGATTCGGTGGCGGAGCCTTGTGCAACAGTCGATGTAAACAATGCGGTTATGGAAAAGGCTCATGCGGAGGTCTAGGTTGGCAAACATGTCAATGCTTATAATGCAACGATTAGAAAAAAAATAAGAACTTTGATAAAATATCCATTATTTCTTTAGTATATCTGTAAAATAAATAAATTTAATCCAGCTGTCCAATATTGAATTATGCTCATATCTATACGTAGTTGAAGCTAGCGCCGGATTCGAGCAACTCTGTCTGCGATTCGCCAAGAAACTTGTTCCAAGGCTTCTATTTTTCTTTCCAGTAGAACTTAATGAGCTCTATCTAACTCTATAATTTGATTTTTCATATGCAAAATCATGTTTCCAAAAATCTATGCATGTAAAACTCGAAAAGTCGTTTCGACTAGAACGTTCAATTTTTCAGATTTCAACTACTCAGCCTTTAACTGAAGAAAGAAAAAAGAGCCAACAGGAAGTTGAGCGAGAGAGGAGAGAAAGAATAAAGGTAGAGGGTAGGGTGGGTGTTGGTGTGAGTGTGGGGGTGTGGGGTGTGGGTGTGGGGTGTGGGTGGGTGTGGGTGTGGGTATGGGTGTGAATGGGTGTGGGTGTGGGGTGTGGATGGGTGTGGGTATGGGTGTGGGTGGGTGTGGGTATGGATGTGAGTGTGGGGTGGGATGTGTGGGTGTGGATGTGGGGTGTGTGGATGTGGGTGTGTGGTGTGGGGTGGGGGGGGTGGGGGTGGGTGTGGGTGTGGGTGTGTGGTGTGGGGTGGGGTGTGTGGGTGTGGGTGTGAGTTTGAGTTTGTTTTTGTCCGAAGTCATACCCACACCCACACCCACCCACACCCACACTCACACCCACACCCACATCTACACCCACCCACACCCACACCCGCCCACACCTGCACCCACACCCACCCACACACCCACACCCACCCACACACCCACACCCACACCCCGTACCAAGCGGGCAAAGAGTATATAAGCATGAAACAAGATACTGCGTTCTTTTCTGTTATCATGACGTTTACCTTATTCGAATTATTTTTTCTCTATTCTGTGCTTTTTTTTTATCCTAGTTCTGTTCTTCCCCCACATGCCTAGGAAAAAAACACATATATTTCTTTGACGTAGTAGCATCGTATATGACGTTGATATACTGCGTAAATTGAGGGGAAGTGAATTGAGTACAGACGAAAAGCCGATTTGAATTCACATGCAAATTACTTAGAGTTACGAAATCAGTTTATTTCCATTTGACAGAAAAGTTTTCTCAGTGATAAAAATATAATTTCAATGACGCATTTATGATTATCGAGAAGGGAAGTACATCTTTTAAAATGCATATAAGCTCTCACAGAGCATGTACCATGTATATTCAATCTTTTAGTCGAAGCTCTTACTTGAAAATGAAACATACGATGATAAGTACTCTTGCTTGAATAAGCTCTCAATATTTCGGTTTGTCCCGTATTTAGATGTCAATGTTGTTGATAGGTGGGTGCGGATGTGGGCCTGGGTGTGGATGTAGGCGTGGGGTGTGAGTGTGGGTGTGGGTGGTGTGGGTGGGTGTGGATGTGGATGTTCTCTCTTTCACTATCAATAACCACACCCACACCCACATCCTCAAGAATGGCTCACAAGATCAGCTGTTTAACATTCTATTAATTTCGATGAAGTGAAGAAGAGATTGTGGCGTGGCAACACAAATCTTGCAAGAACACATCGTCCTTCCACAACGATTGTCTATCGTTCAATACGGCTGTTTCTTGATTTTGTTTCTCAGTACTTCTTATCTATTGTTATTTTTTATTATTATCTGTTGTTATGTCTTCTATTATCAGTTGTTATTTTTCCGATGCGCGGGACGCGCATCTTTGTTGTTAGGGGAAGGCGTTATGACCTGTGCCTTCTTCAGATGCAGTCATAAGGGTTTTCCCTATTTTTTTATAAGATTATACATATAAGCTTGTGCTCTGCTTCTTTTGTCTTTTGTTAGTCATACACAAATGATTTTCCCTTTCTTTCATATATGTTGGAATTTTCTCATTCGCTCTTCTTTCTTTCACGTTGTCCTATGGATATTTCCCTCCTTTGTTCATTGTTTATTATTACTCTATATATAGCGTTACGTCGTTGTGTAAAAAATATAAAAAATATAGATAGATAAATTAAAAATAAAGTATAGTTGGATAAAGATCTCACAGTACTATTGCTTAAATTCGTCTTACATTCAACATGTCGTCTAATGGTAATTCTGATATTAATAAAATCTTAGTGACAAAAGACAAAGATGAAGATGCCGGCAAATATCACATTCTTCTCGTATATCTTCTTGAGGAGAATGGTTGTTGTGGAGGTGGTTATCATGAAAAGTCCTTGTCAATTCATGGTGGTGTTTCTGGTCAATCTTTTAATGAGATGTTGGAACAAGCTTATGAATCATTAGAGGTAGCTATGAAAGATGAAGATCGTGTTCCATTTAATATCAACAATATCAAGAAATCTGTCAAGTTTGACTGTGTGAAATGTAGCACCACCGACGAAATGGATATGGTTTATAAACTCAAAAAGCAAGGGAAGACATTTAAAGAGATTAAAGAACAGGTTAAACAGTAAGATTGTTTTATTTCTCTCAGAAAAAATTTAATGATAACAACTGTATACAGAATTATTCCGAGACCTTGAAAAAATCTGGAAAGTTTTCAATTTTTGGTGAATTTATATCTAAATTGTGAGATCACTAGTACAATGAACAAATGAACAAATGAAACAGCTTCTGTGGTTCAGTTTTGAGATTCTTTTGAGTAAAACACATCAGAAAGATAATCATATGTAATTCTTGGAAAGAAATAAGTTTGTCGTAAATGCTAACATTAATAATCTTTCATAACATTTACATAAACCACTTTTATAATTCGAATAATGAAATATTTTCCCTATTTTTATTCTGAAAAAGTCTAAAGTATTTTCCATGAAATATTATAAAATGGAAAAAAATTTTAAATCCAGATTGATCTTTACAAAAAAAAAAGACAGTTCTTTTCATCCGACAAGACATCAAAATGTATATTTGGTGAAAAGCACTGTAAGACATTAAAAGAAATTTAGTTCTCGACATAGATTTTAACATTTCAGGTACAAAACAATTGATAGTCATTAGTTAATATCATCATTCAATCAGACGGTATACAATTCTATTTGATCTTTAATTAAAAGTTTTGTGTAATTCTTTGGTTGTTTTTAAGGGAGTATTATAATTGGAAGTAGACTTTTGTAGAAAAAACAAATTCTTAATTTTTGTTCAACTTTATTCAAAACTGTATCGGATGACAAATGAGTCTATGTCATATTATCGCTATTTGTATCTTTCAAATCAAATATTCTTTAGGATAAGCTAGTTTTAAATGAGTATACAGCTTGATGAAAAGTGTAAGTTAGTGAATAAGTATTGGTCTTCAGAAAATAAAGCTTTACTGGGTGTTTTCGTCATGTAGTAGGGAGAAATAGATGTTTGTTTTCTGTCGAGTATAGAAGATACATTGATTTATGAGCGATGAAATCAGGTGATAGATTAATTATTTCGTTTTAGTTAAACATTAATTGAACAGTTCAGATGTAACAGATGAACAATTCATTTTTTATCGATATGAAACATCGAAAATATACAGAGTACGTTTTGTACATTTTCAAGTACTCTAATTCTCTCTTTCATTTATGTTATACGATCTAATGCTATAAGGTTCACATCACCAAGAGAATAAAAAATATGAAGTTTATGCAATATTTTTGTCGATAAATTGATTTATTGTTAACTGTGACATTAATTGACAAGTAAAAAACTAAATGAAAAATAGTTCAGGTATCATGGACTGTAATATGAATAATTTTCTCATGCTAAGAGTGACAAGAAACAAACTTTCTAAAGAAATTCCAGTCAAGTGATAAATGAGAAAATGGTCATTAAAATGCTTTATTATCCGAAGCTAGATCATTTCGACTATTAAAATGGATTTTTTTAAGTGAATAATGGTTAAATGCACATTAAAATGCATATCGAATCATTTATGCACTACTTTAACCATTTATTTATCGCAGACTTTATTTTTTTGGGAATTCGACTGATTTGAAAAAGCCTTATAGTCACTAAAAAATATATGAGTCATTAGTTTTTGCATATAAAGCATTCATATCCTAGACAACACTCAAGGACGTTCTTCCAAATTAATACATTAAACGTCGATAGAAATACTTTAGCCTGATAATGTCATACTGGGCACCAGTGTGAAACTTAGTTTCTGTATGATTTGTGATAGTAAATTGATTAATCTTGAATTGTGAAGGATCCTAATATTTATAACACTATCAAATTCAAACGTTTTCCTTGAAAAACGAATACTTGTCGGTAAAAAATACCTTGATCTTTTTTTAAAAGGACAAGAATATCATTTTAATCAATCAGATGAGCGGTACACCATAATAGGCTGAGCTAATGCTGTTGTTTCCAGGCTCATGAGAAAGCAAGGCATCTTTGGAGCGCTGAGTACAATGAAGTTGTTATCGATACCATCGCACAGATGATTAAGAAGTCGAGTTCCTTCTATACCACGAGCAAAATCTGAATTTTGAACAATGTCTGTAATGATCTAAATAAAACTGGGCTACTGATATTGATGAGGATGAATGGTTAGAATCTAGAAATAAAATTAAATTTCTCTTAGTTAAACAGATTGCAACAGATAATGCTAAGATTTATTGTTTTCTGTTCAAATCAAATCACTACCACTATCATTCTTATTGTGACATTTGTTTATTAAGTTAAAGGAGTCCAGAAAATCAGGGCAGACACGTTTTATTTTTATATGATAATATCTTCGAGAAGAAAATAGTGTATCGTTTATCACACATTAATCTAACAATTTATAAATAGTGATAAAAGCTCGTTCCCTCAAATAACATTTTGTAATCAATAACGTTTTCAAATTTCATATGAATACTATTGACTACAGCAAATACTTAAGAATATCAATATTAAATTGTTCGTTCATTTGTCTTTTTTAAGTTGTTCTCGACATGACTCGATGTGTATCACTAGTTAT